GATATTGATCTATATTGTAACTGGTTTAGAGGGATTTTCAGATCCAGGTTTAAGAGTGATATTGATCTATATTGTAACTGGTTTAGAGGGATTTTCAGATCCAGGTTTAAGAGTGATATTGGCTATAACTCTGCTCGACATGTTTCAATATAATTTATATCACAGAACCATAGAGCTGGGCGTGGTCTGTGATTTGAGATTTGAGATGGGTTACTGGTGCGGTACCAACTCCTTTTAAAAATATTTTTTGAAAAGAAACATTGAACATCTAATATTCAAATCATAGTATAAACACATGTGAGCTGGTTCTACTCTTTGTGGTGAGAAACTGAGGGGTCGAGTATAATGCGTCAACCCTGTTACACATACAGTGGGGAGAACAAGTATTTGATACACTGCCGAATTTGCAGGTTTTCCTACTTACAAAGCATGTAGAGGTCTGTAATTTTTATCATAGGTACACTTCAACTGTGAGAGACGGAATCTAAAACAAAAATCCAGAAAATCACATTGTATGATTTTTAAGTAATTAATTTGCATTTTATTGCATGACATAAGTATTTGATACATCAGAAAAGCAGAACTTAATATTTGGTATAGAAACCTTTGTTTGCAATTACAGAGATCATATGTTTCCTGTAGGTCTTGACCAGGTTTGCACACACTGCAGCAGGGATTTTGGCCCACTCCTCCATACAGACCTTCTCCAGATCCTTCAGGTTTCAGGGCTGTCGCTGGGCAATACGGACTTTCAGCTCCCTCCAAAGATTTTCTATTGGGTTCAGGTCTGGAGACTGGCTAGGCCACTCCAGGACCTTGAGATGCTTCTTACGGAGCCACTCCTTAGTTGCCCTGGCTGTGTGTTTCGGGTCGTTGTCATGCTGGAAGACCCAGCCACGATCCATCTTCAATGCTCTTACTGAGGGAAGGAGGTTGTTGGCCAAGATCTCGCGATACATGGCCCCATCCATCCTCCCCTCAATACGGTGCAGTCGTCCTGTCCCCTTTGCAGAAAAGCATCCCCAAAGAATGATGTTTCCACCGCCATGCTTCACGGTTGGGATGGTGTTCTTGGGGTTGTACTCATCCTTCTTCTTCCTCCAAACACGGCGAGTGGAGTATTGACCAAAAAGCTCTATTTTTGTCTCATCAGACCACATGACCTTCTCCCATTCCTCCTCTGGATCATCCAGATGGTCATTGGCAAACTTCAGACGGGCCTGGACATGCGCTGGCTTTGCAGGGGGACCTTGCGTGCGCTGTAGGATTTTAATCCATGACGGCGTAGTGTGTTACTAATGGTTTTCTTTGAGACTGTGGTCCCAGCTCTCTTCAGGTCATTGACCAGGTCCTGCCGTGTAGTTCTGGGCAGATCCCTCACCTTCTTCATGATCATTGATGCCCCACGAGGTGAGATCTTGCATGGAGCCCCAGACCGAGGGTGATTGACCGTCATCTTGAACTTCTTCCATTTTCTAATAATTGCGCCAACAGTTGTTGCCTTCTCACCAAGCTGCTTGCCTATTGTCCTGTAGCCCATCCCAGCCTTGTGCAGGTCTACAATTTTATCCCTGATGTCCTTACACAGCTCTCTGGTCTTGGCCATTGTGGAGAGGTTGGAGTCTGTTTGACTGAGTGTGTGGACAGGTGTCTTTTATACAGGTAACGAGTTCAAACAGGTGCAGTTGATACAGGTAATGAGTGGAGAACAGGAGGGCTTCTTAAAGAAAAACTAACAGGTCTGTGAGAGCCGGAATTCTTACTGGTTGGTAGGTGATCAAATACTTATGTCATGCAATAAAATGCAAATTAATTACTTAAAAATCATACAATGTGATCTTATGGATTTTTGTTTTAGATTCCGTCTCTCACAGTTGAAGTGTACCTATGATAAAAATGACAGACCTCTACATGCTTTGTAAGTAGGAAAACCTGCAAAATCGGCAGTGTATCAAATACTTGTTCTCCCCACTGTAGATAGATAGGCTAGAAATGTTTGAACAATTAAATAATTTGGGTGAAGCATGCAATTAATCAATCAATCAATCAATCAATCAATCAATTAATACAATTAAAAGCCCTTTTTACATCAGCAGTTGTTACAAAGTGCTTATTCAGAAACCCAGCCTAAAACCTCAAACAGCAAGCAATGCAGATGTAGAAGCACAGTGGCTAGGAAAAACTCCCTAGAAAGGCAGCAACCTAGGAAGAAACCTAGAGAGGAACCAGGCTCTGAGGGGTGGCCAGTCCTCTTCTGGCTGTGCCGGGTGGAGATTATAACAGTACATGGCCATTAAGGCCATATAGTTTTTCATGATGTTCAAATGTTCATAGAATGACAGCAGGGTCAAATAATAATCACAGTGGTTATAGAGGGTGCAAACAGGTCAGCATTTCAGGATTATTGTCAGTTGGCCTTCATAGGCGAGCATAGAGGTTGAGAATAGAGAGAGAGAGAGAGAGTGAGAGGAGACTGTATGGAGCATAGGATAGAGTAGCGAGATACTAGAGAGGGAGAAGTATTCGTGGAGTGGGACGCAGCGACTGCAGAGAGAGGAGAGCTGACGCGAGCTGCAATGGGATGAGTTCTGGACATGAGCCACACGCCAGGGCAGGAGTTGAGATGTAGATGAACGGAACGAACGTCAGATCGGTGAAGTTGATCGACGAACAGGCCGTGTTATGAGGAAGTGTGAGGGAGATGGTAGAGGTGTCAGAGAAGGGAAGGACAGGGACGAGAGAGCGAAAGGAGAGCGAGTCGAAACAGCAGGTCGGGGCCCAACGGTAGCATGGTTGAAAAGGTCAGGGTCCATTGCACGACAGGACAGGACAGCAGCACTAATCTGGATCCAGACAGCATGACATCAATTGGCTGATGTAGTCTTCCTTCAGTCACATGACCAGATCGCCCTCTAGTGGCCTCATGGGGTGGAATGTTATTCATATTGTTCAGAACTTCCTAACATTCTTCAAAAAACCCTCAGGAAATCCGGTGTAATCTCTATATCTGACATGGTACAGGTGCCTTCTTTTTGTTAAGCCCATAACCATGTGTGTGAGGTGGATACGTTTGTTTCAAAGTAGATTTGTTTAAGACTACCAAGAAACACTTGTGACCCTGATTTAGGCCCACTGCAGTAAAAGGTTTTGGATGAACTGGTCAACCCTGTTATGGTCAAACATTTTACGGTCAACCCTGTTACGGTAAACCCTGTTACGGTCAACCCTGTTATGGTCAACCATGTTACGGTCAACCATGGTACAGTCAACCATGGTACGGTCAACCATGTTATGGTCAACGCTGTAATGGTCAACCCTGTTATGATCAACCATGTTATGGTAAACCTTGTTATGGTCAACCCTGTTATGGTCAACCATGTTATGGTCAACCCTGTTAGGGTCAACCCTGTTATGGTCAACCCTGTTATGGTCAACCCTGTTATGGTCAACCCTGTTAGGGTCAACCCTGTTATGGTCAACCATGTTATGGTCAACCATGTTATGGTCAACCCTGTTTCGGTCAACCATGTTATGGTCAACCCTGTTAGGGTCAACCCTGTTGTGGTCAACCCTGTTATGGTCAACCCTGTTACTTTATTTGGCACTTAATAGGCCTTACTATAGTATTTTTTATTAAGTTGAACATGCGCTCTTTATGGCAATGTTAACATTAGGTGAAATCAAATGTTCATTTCCCACCAAGTTACACATTTGGGTTGAGGGTTCCTGAGTGGTCCAGTCTCAGTCCTGATTTAAATTTGCTTGAAAATTAGAGTAAAGGTTTGAATATTGCTGTCCATGAATGTTTCCCAACCAAATGTACTGAGCTTGAGCAACTTTGACAAAAAAACAGTTGGCCAGTTTATTAGGTACACCACCCCGTTCACAAAAAGGAAGATAATGACGCAGTGTAACAGTGGTGTGCAGAACGGCATCTCGGAACGCACAACTCAGCGGTCCTTGTCACGGATGGGCTGTTGCAGCAGACGACCACACCGGGTTCCACTCCTATCAGCTAAAAACAAGAAGAAGCGGCTCCAGTGAGCACGCCATCATGAACACTGGACGATTTAAGGAGTGGAAAAACATCGCCTGGGTCTGACGAATCCCGGTTCCTGTTGCGTCGTGCTGATGGCAGCGTCAGGATCTGGCGTAAACGGCATGAGTCCATATCCCCATCCTTCCTGGTGTCGACGGTACCGGCTGGCGGTAGTGGTGTAATGGTGTGGGGAATGTTTTCCTGGCACACGTTGGGTCCCTTGATACCAATTTAGCAACGTTTTCATGTCCAAAGAATTCAGGCTGTTCTGAAGGCAAAGGGGGGGTCCGACCCGGTACTAGATGGGTGTACCTAATAAACTGGCCAGTGAGTGTATGTTGCCGTAAGATTTGGTCAACGTTGGTAGAATCTTATTCCAAATGATTCACAGCTGTAATGTCTGCCAAAGGTGCGTCCACCAAGTATTAACTCTGGGGTGTGAAGACATACTCAACCAAGACATTTTAGTTTTTCATTTTGTATTAATTTGGAACATTTTCACACCAAAAATATTTCGGTAGGAAGATCGGTGGAAAAAAATAAATAAAGAATGTGCAGCAAAAAGTGAAGACTGTGCGTAGACCTTTACTACAGACTGTATATCCATAACAGATTATATTTGGATACAAACTGAAACAAGACAGCAAAGTACATACATTTTTTTATAATATTATCAAAATAAACTACATGTATCAACTAAGTAAACAATAAACCACTACATATAGTAGGTAAGTAGTACGTACAAATCAATCATCAACAACTGACAACGTCAGCAGTCCATCAACGTCCAGTATTATTACCCAAGATGGCCGCCTTCTGCCTTCAAGCATTTCTCAGAGGGAGAAGAAGAGACAGGAAGTCTTGGTTGTAGTCGGCAGGAATGTCGACACTAGTTCCTCAGACTTCTTTCCCTAACCCCTACCTTTTACACGTGGCCTTAAAGATCTTAACCTCTCCCATCTCAGCCAGCAGGGTGGTGTTGAAGGTGTTCCTCTGTCTCTCTGCACGTGGCCATGAAGATCTTAACCTCTCCCATCTCAGCCAGCAGGGTGGTGTTGAAGGTGTTCCTCTGTCTCTCTGCACGTGGCCATGAAGATCTTAACCTCTCCCATCTCAGCCAGCAGGGTGGTGTTGAAGGTGTTCCTCTGTCTCTCTGCACGTGGCCTTAAAGATCTTAACCTCTCCCATCTCAGCCAGCAGGGTGGTGTTGAAGGTGTTCCTCTGTCTCTCTGCACGTGGCCTTAAAGATCTTAACCTCTCCCATCTCAGCCAGCAGTGTGGTGTTGAAGGTGTTCCTCTGTCTCTCTGCACGTGGCCATGAAGATCTTAACCTATCCCATCTCAGCCAGCAGTGTGGTGTTGAAGGTGTTCTTGAAATCCTCAGTGAATCCCAGGTTTGTCTGGAGGCGGACCTTGTTGGCCCAGATCAGAGTGGTTCCTGGACGACAGAAGTATCTCATGGTAAACAACAGCTCCTCTAAGTCATGGTGATACACCACGTCAGCCGCCAGCACGTAGTCATAGTGATAGATGGATCTGGGGTAAGTGCGTTCCACCCCAGGACCCCAGGCCAGAGCTGTCACCTCAGGTGTATATTTAGAGCGCCCTCTGGTGTTTCGGAGCAAGTTGTATCTCAGATTACTAAGGACGTCTGGGAGGTCAGTGGCCGTCACCTGGGCACCTGGGATACACATTACGTTAGGAGCTTTTTAAGAACAAGAAGAACAAGAACAAAAAAACTGACTCCAAAAGACATCTATCACTAGATACGAGAAGAAGAAGAAGAAGAAGGTACGCTCTGGTTAAGAGCGTCTGCTAAATGACTAAAATGTAAAAATGTAAGAAGATCCAACCTCTGATCGCGTTACAGTCTAAAACTCAAAGGTAATCAGTAAGACTTACCCTGTAGACTGGCGACGACAGACACTAATCCTGTCCCTGATCCCAGCTCCAGAACCTGCTTTCCTTTCAGATCTATCACATCAGTATTGGTCTCCAGGTAGTTACATAGAGCCAACGCCTGCAGGGGAGCAAATACATTATATTACCACTATTATTACTACTACTACTACTCCACTGTATTACTGTATTGTCGTCTAGCACCATCTAGTGGTCCGTCACGTGTGTTGCAGTAGTCCATTTGTCTGTTACCCTGTAGAAGAGTAGACTGAACAGGAAGGCGAGAAGACGCCTTACCTGTTTTCCTTTGTTCCATGTGAGTGTTTGGTGCGTTGATTTATCCTGCCGACTACTTCAAATGTAGCGATTTATCCTGCCGACAACGCCAAATGTGGTGTTACACAGTAGAACTGTACTCACTGCTGGCCAGATCACTCCGCCATAGGAGTCCAATGCCTCAACGATGTGGATTTTGTGCCCAGCATAGAAGTAGACCTCTCTGTCCAGTCGTAACCAGGGGACGTGGGTATTATCCTGCTGGACATCTCCTATATCCTTGGTTTCCTTGGTGTCCAACTCCTCTACACAGGAATGGAACAAACCACTCATTCACATTCTAATGGGGATGGGATCATACCATTGCTATTTCCTGGGGGTGTACTGACAATGGTAGACTTGTGTTCTTGAACGATTGAGTTTGAGTAGTTAGGCATTTAACAATGATGTCAACTACTCACCGATAATGTCTTCGTCAGTCACTTCGGTGCTACAGCGGGAGTTAGTGTTTTCTGCTTCATCATCATCCTCATATCCTTCATCACTACGTTCCAACGTCTGTTCCTCCCATTCTTGGCTACTGCCATCACCTACCTCAGCCTTCTCCTCCTCCAAACTGTTGTCTTGCTTCTCTGACCTTTTCTCTTCCTCCACAACAAACTCCTCGACCCAGACTGGTCTCTCCTCCTGCTGGACATTTGAGTCCTGAGTGTCTTCCTCCACAACAAACTCCTCGACCCAGACTGGTCTCTCCTGCTGCTGGACATTTGAGTCCTGAGTGTCTTCCTCCACAACAAACTCCTCGACCCAGACTGGTCTCTCCTGCTGCTGGACATTTGAGTCCTGAGTGTCTTCCTCCTCTGCACAAGAAACACAAAGAAGACCACAAGTCAATCCATGAAGAGTAGCTGCTGCAGTAGCTAACGGGGATCCCAATAAACTAAACTAATTCAACAACACAATAAGATCAATGTCACCTCCTGGCCTATTAGAACTTATATTTACAGTAGGTTGAACGCTCACCAAGACCCTCAAGCTCTGATTGGGAGGTAGAACGAGGGTCAGTAGAAATGTGCTGCTCTTCGACGTCTCTGTATTCCTCAGAGTCTTCCTGGTTCTCCTCATCCTCTTTCGTCTCGTCTTCTACCTCCTTCTCAGTTGTTTCAACTGCCTCAACCACTTCCTCCTCTTCCTCTAAACCATTTTCCTCCTCCTGTACACACTCTGTGACGCGTTCTTCCTCCTCCTCTTCCTCCAACTCCTCCTCTTCCTGTTGTATTCCTCGGACCAGCTCTGGTTCCACCTCTGTTTCTCGACACGTGGCCATGAATATGTTTACTTGTCCTATCTCAGCCAGCAGTGTGGTGTTGAAGGTGTTCTGGAAGTCCTCAGTGAATCTCAGGTCTGTCTCGAGGCGGACCTTGTTGGCCCAGATCAGAGTGGTTCCTGAGGACCACATTAGAAATATGCGTTGTTTAATGCTTTCATGTGTAATACTCTGGGATTTGTTGTACTTTTAAACTGTTCAATAAATCAACCAATCAACCAATCAATCAATCAATCAATCACCTGGACGGCAGAAGTATCTCATGGTGAACAGCAGCTCTTCCAGGTAGTCATGGTGATACACCACGTCAGCCGCCAGCACGTAGTCATAGCGATAGACGGATCTGGGGTAAATCCGTTCCACGTCAGGACCCCAGGACAGAGCTGCAGCTTGGGGAGTGTACCTACAGCGCCCTCTTGTGTTACGGAGCAGGTTGGCTCTCAGGTTACCCAGGATCTCTGGCAGGTCTGTAGCTGTGACCCAGGCACCTGGGGACAGGTAACACTGTGTTAGTCAACTAACAGACACACAGGTGGCCAGTCCCAAATCAACCCCTAGCCTCTAGTTCCTAGGACACTTCATGCAGCTCTGTAAATATTGGATAGGTGTAATCACTATATACAGTGAGCTCCAAAAGAGTTGGGACAGTGACCATTGTTTTTTTGGTTGGTTTTTATGACTCTGTACCCCAGCACCTTGGATATGAAATTATACAATAACTATTATTAAAGTGCAGACAGTCAGCTTTAATTTGAGGGTATTTTCATCCATATCGGGTGAACCGTTTAGAAATTACAGCACTTTTGTACATAGTCCCCCCCCCCATTTCAGGGGACCAAAAGTATTGGGACAAATTCACTTATTAAAGTAGTCAAAAGTTTAGTATTTGGTCCCATATTCATAGCATGCAATGACTACATCAAGCTTGTGACTCTACACACTTGTTGGATGCATTTGCATTATTTACCGTTCATTTCTATTGGGCACAAAATAATCTGAAACACAACCAAAACAAACAGCAAATGCATCCAACAAATTTGTAGAGCCACAAACTGAATGTAGTCGTTGTGTGAATATGGAACCAAATACTGAACTTCTATATATATACCACCCCTACCTTGTCACTGTCACGATCGTCAGAGTGAGTGGACCAAGGCGCAGCGTGATGAACGAACATACTTCTTTATTTAAAGAATGCACGACCAACAAAACAATAAACGATACCGTGACGTCCTATGTAAACCAAAAGGAACACACCGAAAGGAACAAGATCCCACAACTAATGTGGGAAAACAGCCTCTATAAGTATGGCTCCCAATCAGAGACAACCAGCAACAGCTGACACTCATTGCCTCTGATTGGGAACCACTCTGGCCAACACAGAAATACAAAACATAGAATATACACACCCTGGCTCAACATATAGAGTCCCCAGAGCCAGGGTGTGACAGTACCCCCCCCTAAAGGCGCGGACTGCGACCGCGCCTAAACATAAACAAACCAGGGGAGGGCTGGGTGGGCATTCCTCCTCGGTGGCGGTTCCGGCTCCGGGCTTGCCCACCACCCTCCAATAATCCCCCTGTAGCGCCCCTGGTCCGGTCTGGCCCCGCTGGCTGGAGCTGGACTGGACATCGTAGGAGCGGATTGCTTAAGCTCCGTTGTGGAGCAGTACCTGATCAGGCACCGGTGACCCAGGCACGGGTTGTGCCGGACTGACGACACGCACCCCTGGCTTGGTGCGTGGAGCAGGAGCGGGCCGGACCGGGCTGACGATGCGCACCCCTGGCTTGGTGCGTGGAGCAGCCACGGGCCGGACGGGGCTGACGATGCGCACCCCTGGCTTGGTGCGTGGAGCAGGAACGGACCGGACCGGGCTGACGATGCGCACCCCTGGCCTGGTGCGTGGAGCAGGAACGGGCCGGACCGGGCTGACGATGCGCACCCCTGGCTTGGTGCGTGGAGCAGGAACGGGCCGGACCGGGCTGGCGACGCACACCGTAGGCTTGGTGCGTGGAGCAGCCACGGGCCGGACGGGGCTGACGATGCGCACCCCTGGCTTGGTGCGTGGAGCAGGAACGGACCGGACCGGGCTGACGATGCGCACCCCTGGCCTGGTGCGTGGAGCAGGAACGGGCCGGACCGGGCTGACGATGCGCACCCCTGGCTTGCTGCGTGGAGCAGGAACGGGCCGGACCGGGCTGGCGACGCACACCGTAGGCTTGGTGCGAGTGGCAGGAAACAGGCCGGGCCGGGCTGGCGACGCACACCGTAGGCTTGGTGCGAGTGGCAGGAAACAGGCCGGGCCGGGCTGGCGACGCACACCGTAGGCTTGGTGCGAAGGGCAGGAACAGGCCGGGCCGGGCTGGCGACGCGCACCGTAGGCTTGGTGCGAGTGGCAGGAACAGGCCGGGCCGGGCTGGCGATGCGCACCGTAGGCTTGGTGCGAGGAGCAGGAATAGGCTGGGCCGGGCTGGCGACGCGCACCGTAGGCTTGGTGCGAGGGGCAGGAACAGGCCGGGCCGGGCTGGCGACGCGCACCGTAGGCTTGGTGCGAGGAGCAGGAACAGGCCAGGCCGGGCTGGCGACGCGAACCGTAGGCTTGGTGCGAGGAACAGGAACAGGCCGGACCGTACTGGGAACACACACCACTGGCCTTAAACGGGGATCAGGAACGGGCCGGACCGGACTGGCAATACACCTCAGTACCTCTCGCCGTGCCTCTACAACTTCCTTCCCTCCTCTCGCCAATGGCTCCCGTAACCCGGTGGCCTTCTCTCCTCGTCTCCCATTTCGCCCTGTGGCAGCCTCCTGCTGCCCAGTCGCCCATGCCGTGTGCCCCCCCCTAAAAAAATTCTGGGGTTGCCTCTCGTCCGTCCGTGCTCCTCTCTCGCCAGGGCCTTAATCTTAGCCCATGGCCCCTTTCCCCCGAGCATGTCCTCCCAGGACCACACTTTGCCCACCTGGGCCATCGCCAACCTCTCCAGCTCCTTTCCCGGCGCTTCCTCCCATGTCCAGGCCGCCTGCTCCTGGACACGCTGCTTGGTCCTGGTATGGTGGGATCTTCTGTCACGATCGTCAAAGTGAGTGGACCAAGGCGCAGCGTGATGAACGAACATACTTCTTTATTTAAAGAATGCACGACCAACAAAACGATACCGTGACGTCCTATGTAAACCAAAAGGAACACACCGAAAGGAACAAGATCCCACAACTAATGTGGGAAAACAGCCTCTATAAGTATGGCTCCCAATCAGAGACAACCAGCAACAGCTGACACTCATTGCCTCTGATTGGGAACCACTCTGGCCAACACAGAAATACAACACATAGAATATACACACCCTGGCTCAACATATAGAGTCCCAGAGCCAGGGTGTGACAGTCACAACACAACTGATTGGCTCAAACGCATTAAGAAGGAAAGAAATTCCACAAATTAACTTTTAACAAGGCACACCTGTTAATTGTAATGGAAAGCTGGTTGAGAGAATGCCAAGAGAGTGCAAAGCTGTCATCAAGGCAAAGGGTGGCTATTGTGAAGAATCTAAAATGTATTTTGATTTGTTTAACACTTTTTTGGGTTACTACATGATTCCATATGTGTTATTTCATAGTTTTTATGTTTTCATTACTATTCTACAATGTAGAAAATAGTAAAAATAAAGAAAAACCCTTGAATGAGTAGGTGTGTCCAAACTTTTGACTGGTACTGTATACTTCCATTAATTCTTTCAACTGGCACAGGGGGACCTTCAGATGAGTCTTGTGAGGAATCTAGGCGTCCTACAGCAAAACAAGTGTCTCAACTTTCCACAGAGGGGTCATATTCGTGTGTAGCCCAAACTGTTCGGACGCTACAGACAGAAGTTGGCAGATGGGCTGTACCGACTCCGGACGAGTCCCAAGACGCTTGTGGGGGGTCGTAGAGCAAAAGGGGGAACACCGTCATGGGGATTGTTTTATTATGCCAATTAGATTTTTCACGGGGCTCTGACATCGACTCTATTAATACACATAAGTGAATTTGTCCCAATACTTTTGGTCCCCTAAAATCTAAACAGTTCTCCCGATATTGATGAAAATACCCTCAAATTAAATGTAAAATCCAAAATGCTGGAGTACAGAGCCAAAACAACTAAAATGTGTCACCGTCATCTGACTGTAATGGACCCATCTCTCTCCTAGGCTAGGGAGAGTTTTCATCACATCACTTTGCACCTCTCCAATGCTCTCAGATAAATGCCTATGTTTAGGACAGTAGTGTAGAGTCTGGTCAGACTCACCTAGGAGTGTGGCAACAATAGACACTAGGCCAGGTCCTGCTCCTAGCTCCAGCACTGCCTTGTCCACCAGATTCAACTGCTCAACGTTGGTCTCTAGGTAGTGACACAGAGCCAACGCCTACAGGCAACCAGAGTTACTATAGCAACCATCATTATAGTTATTATGACATCAAATTATTATCATGATCATCTTGCATCCATCCCATCTACCAGCCGATCCATCTGCCCATCCATCCACCACCACCACCATCATCATCATCATCATCATCATTCGTCGTTATCCTACATGAATGTCATGTTAAATAGTAGACTAACTCACCGCTGGCCAGATGACAGCGCCGTAAGAGTCCAAGGCCTCAAAGATGCTGATCTCCTGTCCTACGTAGCAGAACACCTCTTTACCGAACTTGGAGTAGGCAGTGGGGACCCAGGCCTGCTTCTTCTGGTGCTGGGGTTCAGTCTCCTTGGCTTTGGCATCTGATTCCTCCTCGCTGTCTTTCACTGTTGTCCCGCTATCATCTTCCTCATCATCATCTTCCTCCTCCTCCTCCTCCTCTTCTTCCATGAAAGCAGTTTCCTTCTCCTCTTTGTGAGGTGTGCATAAAGGATCCATAGAAATCTGAGAAAACGATTATTTTCCTTCAGCTGAAGTTGAAATGGCAGGTTGGCTACTCATTTTACAGTCAGCACTCTCTTCAGGTTCAGTCTCTCCCACACATTGTAAACCCAAGTCCAACACTTGAGTTTTTTATCTCTCTCCCCCCCTCCCTCCCTCCCTAACTTCACCCCTCCCCGAACCATGTTTGGTAACGACATATTTTTCCCCGCTAACAGCCTGTCAAAGCGAAGTACTGTAATGAAACCCTGACCCCGTTAGACCCCCTTCCACCTCTCCACCATCCCCATATGGACTGCTGACCCCGTTAGATCCCCTTCCACCTCTCTACCATCCCCATATGGACTGCTGACCCCGTTAGACCCCCTTCCACCTCTCTACCATCCCCATATGGACTGCTGACCCCGTTAGATCCCCTTCCACCTCTCCACCATCCCCATATGGACTGCTGACCCCGTTAGATCCCCTTCCACCTCTCCACCATCCCCATATGGACTGCTGACCCCGTTAGATCCCCTTCCACCTCTCCACCATCCCCATATGGACTGCTGACCCCGTTAGATCCCCTTCCACCTCTCTACCATCCCCATATGGACTGCTGACCCCGTTAGACCCCCTTCCACCTCTCTACCATCCCCATATGGACTGCTGACCCCGTTAGATCCCCTTCCACCTCTCCACCATCCCCATATGGACTGCTGACCCCGTTAGATCCCCTTCCACCTCTCCACCATCCCCATATGGACTGCTGACCCCGTTAGATCCCCTTCCACCTCTCTACCATCCCCATATGGACTGCTGACCCCGTTAGACCCCCTTCCACCTCTCCACCATCCCCATATGGACTGCTGACCCCGTTAGATCCCCTTCCACCTCTCCACCATCCCCATATGGACTGCTGACCCCGTTAGACCCCCTTCCACCTCTCTACCATCCCCATATGGACTGCTGACCCCGTTAGACCCCCCTTCCACCTCTCTACCATCCCCATATGGACTGCTGACCCCGTTAGATCCCCTTCCACCTCTCCACCATCCCCATATGGACTGCTGACCCCGTTAGACCCCCTTCCACCTCTCCACCATCCCCATATGGACTGCTGACCCCGTTAGATCCCCTTCCACCTCTCCACCATCCCCATATGGACTGCTGACCCCGTTAGGCCCCCTTCCACCTCTCCACCATCCCCATATGGACTGCTGACCCCGTTAGATCCCCTTCCACCTCTCCACCATCCCCATATGGACTGCTGACCCCGTTAGATCCCCTTCCACCTCTCTACCATCCCCATATGGACTGCTGACCCCGTTAGATCCCCTTCCACCTCTCTACCATCCCCATATGGACTGCTGACCCCGTTAGACCCCCTTCCACCTCTCCACCATCCCCATATGGACTGCTGACCCCGTTAGACCCCCTTCCACCTCTCCACCATCCCCATATGGACTGCTGACCCCGTTAGATCCCCTTCCACCTCTCCACCATCCCCATATGGACTGCTGACCCCGTTAGACCCCCTTCCACCTCTCCACCATCCCCATATGGACTGCTGACCCCGTTAGATCCCCTTCCACCTCTCCACCATCCCCATATGGACTGCTGACCCCGTTAGATCCCCTTCCACCTCTCCACCATCCCCATATGGACTGCTGACCCCGTTAGACCCCCTTCCACCTCTCTACCATCCCCATATGGACTGCTGACCCCGTTAGACCCCCTTCCACCTCTCCACCATCCCCATATGGACTGCTGACCCCGTTAGATCCCCTTCCACCTCTCTACCATCCCCATATGGACTGCTGACCCCGTTAGATCCCCTTCCACCTCTCCACCATCCCCATATGGACTGCTGACCCCGTTAGACCCCCTTCCACCTCTCCACCATCCCCATATGGACTGCTGACCCCGTTAGACCCCCTTCCACCTCTCCACCATCCCCATATGGACTGCTGACCCCGTTAGATCCCCTTCCACCTCTCCACCATCCCCATATGGACTGCTGACCCCGTTAGACCCCCTTCCACCTCTCCACCATCCCCATATGGACTGCTGACCCCGTTAGACCCCCTTCCACCTCTCCACCATCCCCATATGGACTGCTGACCCCGTTAGACCCCCTTCCACCTCTCCACCATCCCCATATGGACTGCCTCACAGTGGAGTTGACAAGAGAGCAGAAACAGCCTGGCTACTTTTAAATCCTTTATTTCCACATTTACATTTTAGTCATTTTAGCAGACGCTCTTATCCAGAGCGACTTACAGTTAGTCAGTGCATACATTATTATATATTTTTTTTCATACTTTATCGTATCAATCCACCACCTACCTACTGCAGTCTTTGTATTTCCTTGGTCAGTGGGTTTTGGGCGTCAACCCTCCACTTTTCTGTCTTGGTTTTCCATCTCGTATGAATTAATAAAAGTATTTTTCTCTTCTTCTTGTTGAAGATAGTTCTAACTGCATCTTGGGACGTCTCAGAGTCGAGGTTTTAAGACTTTATCAGAGTCAGAATCCTGCTGGACACTCCCATCACACCAACCCAACGCTATATTTAGAGATGAGACCATCTGAAACAAACACACAGGAAACAAACATACACAGACACGTTTTAGATTTAAACAAACAATATTGAAATCACCATAAACTGTCAACTCCATCTCCCTGATACATTAAGATAGGATATTAATTTCGGTTCAAATATGTTTATTTTAATTAGGCTTTAGAGTCATGAAGCAACTGAGGACAGGGCCTAAAATTAACCCCAGCCACCCGCCAAATGAAGGGTAGATTTTGGCAATGGCGGGTAAAGATGTTTATTCCACCAGTCACATTGGCAGGTGGTTAGGGGTCAGGGTTTAAGGTCTCCACCGTGCCAGCATTCCACTCGTTAAATTAAAATAAAGTTAAAAGTCAAGTACGAGCACATTTATAGCAAAATAAACGGTCCAGTAGCTGTTTTCAAATTATTTCTGCCGTTTTGTTTTCATAGCTGGTGATCACACAAAGAACTATGAATCCTATAGACCTCCTCGTGCAGCAACACTACCTGGCTGGTGGGCTGTGAGTGAAGTGCTGCCACAGGCATCAACGTTGCTCCAATTTATTTGAAAGTGTTTCTTGGCAATTTACATTGTTTTGTTCACAAGCTGGAGTTGTTCTTCAACGTTTCAGTTTGCTCCAACAAGCTGGGTTGTTCTTCAACGTTTCAGTTTGCTCCAACAAGCTAGGTTGTTCTTCAACGTTTCAGTTTGCTCCAACAAGCTAGGTTGTTCTTCAACGTTTCAGTTTGCTCCAACAAGCTAGGTTGTTCTTCAACGTTTCAGTTTGCTCCAACAAGCTAGGTTGTTCTTCAACGTTTCAGTTTGCTCCAACAGGCTAGGTTGTTCTTCAACGTTTCAGTTTGCTCCAACAAGCTAGGTTGTTCTTCAACGTTTCAGTTTGCTCCAACAAGCTAGGTTGTTCTTCAACGTTTCAGTTTGCTCCAACAAGCTAGGTTGTTCTTCAACGTTTCAGTTTGCTCCAACAAGCTAGGTTGTTTTTCAACGTTTCAGTTTGCTCCAACAAGCTAGGTTGTTCTTCAACGTTTCAGTTTGATCCAACAAGCTAGGTTGTTCTTCAACGTTTCAGTTTGCTCCAACAAGCTGGGTTGTTCTTCAACGTTTCAGTTTGATCCAACAAGCTAGGTTGTTCTTCAATGTTTCAGTTTGCTCCAACAAGCTAGGTTGTTCTTCAACGTTTCAGTTTGCTCCAACAAGCTAGCAAAGAGAAGTCAGCTACTAGTCAGAATCTCGCAGGCACGTTACCACGGTAACCTCCCGCCCTTAAAGGGGCAGCTGAACATTTATGTCTCATCTGTGATATTTTGGTTAAAAGACTCAGGTCACAAAAAAAATGAATTTGAGAAATATACCACATGACTTCTTACTAGTAATACCTGTATTGTTTTAGAAACATTACAGAGCATGCTCATCCGTTTTTTGGTGTAATTATGGCGAAAAAATTATTTGGCTGGTAAAAAATCTTGAGTGGCTGGTCGATTTTGTTCATCAAGCTGAAAATCTTTGCATGTGGTGCTACCTGCCCCTCCCCTCTGAAGCATAGACTACAGTACTGATGTTACATTGATGCATGATTCAGAGAGAGATTTTAATTAGCTAGAGAAGAATGGATTCACTTTTTCAATGCTAGTTAAGGATACTATAGGAATAGTTATCACGTTTCACGTTGGCTTTATTAACTACAAAAAGGTAAGACGTGTTTTTTTTTAATGGAGCTGCTCTGCACACACAAGCTTGTTGGCTAGCTAGCGCAAAGGACATTCAAAGTTCCTCCATAGAAGCAGGTATAATTCTATGGACCTAATTCATATAATGAATGTCATAACAAGATGCCCAGCATTTCAAGCCTCCTCAACCCTCTCTTGCTCTCTCCCCATTTCAGTCGCATCTTGTGCCACAGGCTGCACTTGTCTGTCCAAACAACTAGCTCTGCCGCTCCATCCGCACTGTTTGGTCAAGTCGTTGAAAGAGTCGAGATCATGAGATAAACTCTATGAATAGAAGTGGACGTATTGATGATAGATTGATAGTATGGTTGAGGCAGCAGAGCCCACGGTGGATCAGCGCATCCAGATATTGCATTATGTCTGTCAGTTATAGATTGCTTCCTTGCGCTTTTGGCTCAATACAATCACAATTTAAAAGACATGTAAAAGTGTGATTGCGCTACTATTTTAAATGGATTGAATGTGGAACGTTCAGTGCAAGAACAGTTAAACGTTGACGTCTGTGGTTGCAGACTATCAATACAAGCGTATTTTAATATCTTTCATCGTTTTAACAGGGAGGTTGGCCTGTCAATAGCAGCAAAAACACAGTCACAGACAACAGTTACCAAGTAGTACATAAAAATAAAACTAGTAAAAAGACTGAAGTGAATCACATGTTGAGGTTTCTAAATACTCCAACATTTCATGAAGGCTACAGTCTAAATACTCCAACATTTCATAAAGGCTACAGTCTAAATACTCCAACATTTCATGAAGGCTACAGTCTAAATACTCCAACATTTCATAAAGGCTACAGTCTAAATACTCCAACATTTCATAAAGGTTACAGTCTAAATACTCCAACATTTCATAAAGGCTACAGTCTAAATACTCCAACATTTCATAAAGGCTGCAGTCTAAATACTCCAACATTTCATAAAGGCTACAGTCTAAATACTCCAACATTTCATGAAGCCTACAGTCTAAATACTCCAACATTTCATAAAGGCTACAGTCTAAATACTCCAACATTTCATAAAGGCTACAGTCTAAATACTCCAACATTTCATAAAGGCTACAGTCTAAATACTCCAACATTTCATAAAGGCTACAGTCTAAATACTCCAACATTTCAGAAAGGCTACAGTCTAAATACTCCAACATTTCATGAAGGCTACAGTCTAAATACTCCAACATTTCATGAAGGCTACAGTCTAAATACTCCAACATTTCATGAAGGCTGCAGTCTAAATACTCCAACATTTCATAAAGGCTGCAGTCTAAATACTCCAACATTTCATGAAGGCTACAGTCTAAATACTCCAACATTTCATGAAGGCTACAGTCTAAATACTCCAACATTTCATGAAGGCTACAGTCTAAATACTCCAACATTTCATAAAGGCTACAGTCTAAATACTCCAACATTTCATGAAGGCTACAGTCTAAATACTCCAACATTTCATGAAGGCTACAGTCTAAATACTCCAACATTTCATGAAGGCTACAGTCTAAATACTCCAACATTTCATAAAGGCTACAGTCTAAATACTCCAACATTTCATAAAGGCTACAGTCTAAATACTCCAACATTTCATAAAGGCTACAGTCTAAATACTCCAACATTTCATAAAGGTTACAGTCTAAATACTCCAACATTCCATAAAGGTTACAGTCTAAATACTCCAACATTTCATAAAGGCTACAGTCTAAATACTCCAACATGTCATAAAGGCTACAGTCTAAATACTCCAACATGTCATAAAGGCTACAGTCTAAATACTCCAACATTTCATAAAGGTTACAGTCTAAATACTCCAACATGTCATAAAGGCTACAGTCTAAATACTCCAACATTTCATAAAGGCTACAGTCTAAATACTCCAACATTTCATAAAGGCTACAGTCTAAATACTCCAACATTTCATAAAGGCTACAGTCTAAATACTCCAACATTTCATAAAGGTTACAGTCTAAATACTCCAACATTTCATAAAGGTTACAGTCTAAATACTCCAACATTTCATAAAGGCTACAGTCTAAATACTCCAACATTTCATGAAGGCTACAGTCTAAATACTCCAACATTTCATGAAGGCTACAGTCTAAATACTCCAACATTTCATGAAGGCTACAGTCTAAATACTCCAACATTTCATGAAGGCTACAGTCTAAATACTCCAACATTTCATAAAGGCTACAGTCTAAATACTCCAACATTTCATGAAGGCTACAGTCTAAATACTCCAACATTTCATAAAGGCTACAGTCTAAATACTCCAACATTTCATAAAGGTTACAGTCTAAATACTCCAACATGTCATAAAGGCTACAGTCTAAATACTCCAACATTTCATAAAGGCTACAGTCTAAATACTCCAACATTTCATAAAGGCTACAGTCTAAATACTCCAACATTTCATAAAGGCTACCAGTCTAAATACTCCAACATGTCATAAAGGCTACAGTCTAAATACTCCAACATTTCATAAAGGCTACAGTCTAAATACTCCAACATTTAATAAGGCTACAGTCTAAATACTCCAACATTTCATGAAGGCTACAGTCTAAATACTCCAACAGTTCATGAAGGCTACAGTCTAAATACTCCAACATTTCATGAAGGCTACAGTCTAAATACTCCAAACATTTCATAAAGGCTACAGTCTAAATACTCCAACATTTCATACAAGGCTACAGTCTAAATACTCCAACATTTCATAAAGGCTACAGTCTAAATACTCCAACATTCATGAAGGCTACAGTACTACATAAACTTCCAACATTTCAATAAGGCTACAGTTCTAAATACTCCAACATTTCATGAAGGCTACAGTCTAAATACTCCAACATTTCATAAAGGCTACAGTCTAAATACTCCAACATTTCATGAAGGCTACAGTCTAAATACTCCAACATTTCATGAAGGCTACAGTCTAAATACTCCAACATTTCATAAAGGCTACAGTCTAAATACTCCAACATTTCATAAAGGCTACAGTCTAAATACTCCAACATTTCATAAAGGCTACAGTCTAAATACTCCAACATTTCATGAAGGCTACAGTCTAAATACTCCAACATTTCATAAAGGCTACAGTCTAAATACTCCAACATTTCATAAAGGCTACAGTC